CCCCCCCCCCCCACGAGGGGGTCTCCCTATAACCAGCCGATGGGTGTGTCCCGGGCCTCGGCTCATCCACCGTCAGGTGGGCTCAAGTTGCAAGTAACCCAGCAGACGGGTCTGGCCAGCCCTCGCAGGACCTGGAGCTCCTCGGGGAGGAGATCACAGGGCAGGGGGTGAAGAGGGACAGACAGGGGAGCAGAGGCAGGGCCCTGGACGGGGACCCGCAGCCACGACACCTGACCTGTGCCAAGTGGGCACCTGTACCAAGGGGCAGAGGGCCAGGAGGCAGCCTTGGGGACATGCGGCCGTAGGCCTGTCAGGAACACGAGGGGGGATGCTCACCACAAGTGGCTGGTCCCTGGGCTCCATCTGTCTCAAGGCCGGGCTGCCCCGGGCTGGGGAAGGGCCGGTGGCTGTGGGGCCGGACGGCGTGACGTGCTCCGTGCTCTCCTGGCGACCTGTCTGCACAGCAGGCCCCCCCCTCCAGCCTGCCCCACCTTGGTGACATCAGCAGGCCCCAGGAGCCCAGCCAGTCCTTAACTGTCGGCACACGTGGGACCGCACACGTGGCTCGGGAGGCCCCAAGGAGCTGCGTGGCCCAGGCCCTGGTGTATGCAGGCCAGCTGCATGCTGGGCACGCAGGGTCTATGCCCTCACCTGATGCCATGGCAACCCCAGGGTTCCTAGTTGCCTGCCTGAGCCACACAAAGCTTGGCCTTGGAGCATTTCCACTGAAAGGGGACAAACACCACTAGCTAACGCTCAACACAATCAATCTTAACTATGAACGCTTTTCCCCAGATGCCATTTCCAGATTCTGACTGGGATGTGGTTTTTAGCAGCCAGTCCCACTCTGCACCACACCCAGGGCCAGACTGACTTTCACCTTTGGGTGTCTGCACACAACCTTACCCTGCAGCCTCCAGGTTAGTCGGTGCATGGTGACCCAATGCAGGGCGCCCTTGCCAAGTCGACAACCAGAAGCAGGGCGAACGAGCTGTTCTCCCACCTGAGGACAGTCACAGAGAGGCCAGATCCACGAAGTTCAAATCTGAGAAACACAACTTTGAGACAGCTACAGCACTCAAAGGCCCACAGAGGGCAGCCCACAGCAGCAGCAGGGGTTGGGCCTGAAGTCGAATGAGTCCCTCGAGGTCACCAGGGCTGTCCTGGCCTGCCCAGCCCAGGGGCCATGACCAACCGCAAGTGTGCCGGTGCGGCTGGCGAGGGCAGGGTCGTGTGGGGCCTGCTGTGTTCTCCTTGGCATCTGGGTCAGTACTGAGCTCTAGGTCGACCTCACCCCATGAACAAGGCAAGGGGACAGCGGAGAGAGCCGCCCATCTAACGCCCACGTCCCCCTCTTCCACGAAGGCTCCAGCCTGTGACCACAGGAACCGCTGAAAAGCCCGTCTGATTTCAACGCGAGGATACACGCCCTCCCATCCTGCCTGCCTCTGGAAACAGGACGAGGACAGAAGGCCGGTGCGGGCGGCTGGGGCCAGCGCCCACCCTGATGCCCCAGCCAAAGAAGCCAGAGCGAGGGGGACGCCCCGCCCCCACAGGAAGGATCAGGAACACTCTCTCCCTGGGGCTGGCCCTGGGAAACCCACTTCCAGAGCACAAGAGAGAGAAACAAACCAGGTGTTTCAGAAATTCTTTTATTAACAAATCACATAAAACAATTACAACTACCGAGTCGGAAACAGTCGAAAGTAAATTTTTTGAAAGCTGTTAAAAATCTGTGAACATGATCAAAACATGAGCCTTTTCCTTCTTACCGTCATCAAATTAAAAAGCCAGGTCTCTGCACGCTGAGGCTTAAAGGGTGTGAGAGCCAGTAAGAAACACTGGACACCGTGTGCGGACGGACATGACCGGGAACTGGGGAGAGCGCCCAGTGCCGCCTCGCAGTCGGGGGCGTGGGGTTGGCGGCAGGCGGCCCCAGCCCCCGAGCTGCTTCTGCCCCACGGACGACAGCTTCTCCTCCAATCCCAATGTGTCAAGTTCATGGGCACCACGGCCGTGAAAGCGCAGCGAGCCCGTTCTGTGCGTTTTGACCCAGGCTCTCGGCTCCCAGAGACACAAAGAGGAGGCGCGGTGGAGTCTGACAAGGCACCAATGGGTAGTGGATGTTGCAAATCAACAGGGGCTGAAATTACGTGGATTTGCTCACTCCCTTCTCAGGAGAGAAATCAAGTTAAATAGTCAAAGACGACCACGTGACGGCGGCTAAAGTGACAACTCTCACGAACAACTTAACTTGTAGGACTCCAAGGAAGTCTAGAAAAGTCTTTCTCACCAGGTCAGACAAGTGTGGAAAACAAACAAAATGCTGCAAGAATGGTTTTTCTGCACCGATCAGACCGATGCTTTAGTTTGCAGAGCTCAGCTGAGAAAACACAACCAAATCAGGAGGTGGGAGGGCCACCACCACAGGGGGAGGGGGCACAGGAACCAAGTTCGAGGCCGGTGTCTACGTTAAAGAGAGGAGAAAGACAGCTTTTTCATACAGGTTTGTTTTTATTTCCACGCTCAGCCTGTTGAGAACCTAGCACAACCTGAATGGCGCGGCTCCCCTGTTTCCACGACACAGCCACGCTGCCCCCCCGCCACGGGACAGGACGCGTTCTCGGAAGGGGACGGCTGGGCGCGCCCCTGCCGCGCACGAGTCTGAGTAACAAACACTGGTGGCATGACTTTAAAAACCCCAAACGAGAGAAAAGGAAAGCGGTGCCTTGAAACCTCCCCCATGGTGGGGACCGGGGACTGAAGGCACAGCGACATGTGGGCATGGGAGAATCCGGGCGCACAGTGTGGAGCGAGACAAAGCACAGGTAAAACGCAGGCATCGTGCGCACTTTCTGCAGAAGGACGACCTCATTCCAGCACGAGCCCTGGGGACGCTGCAAGAAGGATCAGGTGTTTACTCTCTGCCCTGCATCGCGATGACGAGACGGACATTAGCAAGGGCTTCTGCGGAAGGTGCGCCCCGACGGCAGGCACAGGGCGTACGATCTCAGAAGACAGAAGGGACCCGAGGCTCTCCCGCCTGATGCCAGAGATGACCAGGAGCAGGAGCCCCGGAAGGGAGGGAGAGAGCCCCGTCCGCTGGCCGCCCCGCACACAACGCTGCCCTCGCTCGCCTGCCGAGGAAGCCCGCCTGTACTCCGGAGGCTCCCATCTCAGACCCACAGGCCTGTCTCTGCTGGGCACACCGAGGCCTTTTCCCGGCACGCTGCGGCTGGCCTCCCTCCTCTTCCCCAGCTCCGCCTCTCACCCACGACCACAGCCCACGTGAGGGGCACGTTCCCTAAATCCGGGGCTCGAGGTCCCGCTGTGTTCAGAAAAGAGCCCCACCTCGGACAGCCAGGGTGTGCACTTGACCCTTACAGGTTCCATGAAAAGGGCCCGCCGACCCTGAGAACGTGAACCTGGCTCTTTTCTCAGCGAAGGGACAGCACAACACAAGAGACGGGCCCGCGTCTGGGTGTGGCTCGTCCCCGTCTGAAGAGGTCTTACCACGCTGCTCAGGTCACTCCGGATTGCCCAGGGGGATGATCTCCTCGGTGACGAAGAACTCGATGGTCTCCTCCTCCCAGTCTTCCACGTTGCTGTCCAGCTCGTCCGTGTCCACGCCTGCGGGGAGGGGAGGGAAGTGACGTGGCGTGCAGACAGCCCACTCGGGGAGGGTGGGGACACGTGGGCATGTGCCCACGTGCGCCCACTCCAGCCTCCTCCACACAGGACAGTGCACGTTAACCTGTGGCCGTAGCAAACTGGGTTCTTTGACAAAAACACCTGACGCTTAACTGGAAAGCCCACACAAGAGGGAGAAAAATGTTTCAACAGTCCTGTCCTAACAAAACACATCTCCAGCTAACGGTTACCTCCTCGCAACTCCAAACGTTCATTTTTCTGCTCCATGTAGAGCTCCTGGGCCATTTTCCGGTATTTTCGGAAATCTTCCATCATGGTGCGTCTTCTCTCCACTAGTTCCTGTGCGCGGAAGTGGGAAAGTCACGGGGCTGACGGCCCCCTCGCCACAACGAGGACTGAGGTCGGCAGTCACCACCACCAACCAACCCCCACCCCCGCCCCAGGACAAGAACGGAGGGCGCACCCTCCTCCTTCCCCTCCCACACACCTGGAAGGCCAGTCTGTGCACGTGGGCAGC